ATGAATGTGATGCCATTCTTCAATTTGTCATTACTGGCAAAGTAAACCATGTGAATGTCAGATTCAAAATGGTAAATACCAGTCATTTCAGGTCACTAATGTCTAGGACATTGATATTTATACATCCCATTTCATTTTGAGTTCTAATTTTCCAAGATTCATACTGTGTACATAGCATGTTCCATTTTCTAATGGATGTTTATAGCTGTTTCTCTTTATTTTGAGTATGTCTCATCAACAAATGAAGGTGCCATGGGCTTTACTCCATTCACCTCACCACAGTGAACTCTACTTCGTGGAGCTTGCTATTCTCTAGTTGTATTTTGAGTGCCTTCCAACCTGAGGGGCTCATCTTACACTACTATACCTGACAATATTCTGGCATTCTTCATCATGTTTCAGTATTCAAGATTTTGGTGCTGACAGTGTTCCACTGTTATTCATAAGATTTCCAGTGATTAAATATTAAGAAGAAGGCTGTCTCACCTTCATCCTAGTCTGTCTTCACCTGGAAGCACAGCTGAAATCTGCCCACCATGGGTGACCCTGCTGGTGTTTAAAATACTGGTGGTGTAGCTTCCAGAATCACAGCAACACATAAGTCACCACAAAAGACATACTGACAGATAAGTGATGAGTATGGACAATAGTAACTAAAACCCAAACCAAAGCCACTGTCATTGAATTGACTGTGACTCATAACCTTATAAGACAAAGTAGAGTTGCCTCTTTAGGTTTCTGAGGTTGTAAATTTGTGCATGGTAGATAGCCTCATCTTACTTCTGTGGAATGGTTGTTGCTTTGAATTACTAACCTTGTAGTTAGCAGTCTAATGTGTATCTTACAGTGCCACCAGGACTCCTACTATTGTTATTGTTGTTGTGAAGTATGTCAAGTCAGTACTAACTCATAGCAACTCTGTAAATGGTTTTTGAGGAGTGGCTGGTGGGTTTGAACTGTCAACCTAGTAGTTAAAAGCCCAGTGCTTATCTTATAGTGCCACACCAGGAGGACACTCTTCTTTAATCATAAGAATCCAGTACTGTCTACACTGCTAACAGGAAGTCATTTACAACTTTTCATAGTCTATCCTGGATACTATTGAAAGTATTGGAAGTATTTGTTAACTTCATTTACCTCCCTAATCACCCACAATCCAGTTTAACTCTCCCCACCACACCTCTTTCTCCCACAAACATCCACACACATCCACGTATCTCTCTCTCTCTCTCTCTCTCTCT